TTCATAGGCAACAAACAAACCCTGCTTTTGGAAATTGATTCCCAGCAAGCTCGAGGCGGCATGCAGTCAAAGAACAAAGTTTTTAAAGTGCATATAATTCCACTGTTCAATATTCTGAGAATTCAATCTCCCTTATCCTAAGTACACCATGGCCCAATATGACCGGTTTAATAAATTTAGAAAATAAAACTAAAAACTAAAAACTAAAAGAAGAATAAGCATGCCATCTCTGAGCAGAAGCAAACTCTAAAACTGATTAGGAAAAAAAAGTGCGAAAAAGTAAATATTTATGTGTTCTAATAATATTACATGAAAAGTTAAAAAACAAAACCAATCAAGAAGACATTTGAATCTGCATTATGCCTTCGACAAATTACAAATTGAAGTGTGAGACAGAGAGAGCATTAATGTATAAGACATCAAATCATAACAGAGAAATTTTGGAAAGCCTTTTACTTTCACTAAAACTCCTCCTCAATCATAATCAACAAAAGCAACATATAAATTTGGACTATTACACTAATGAATCCCAATGTATGTCTGTGCTGTGGCATTTTGGTCTCCTGTGTTGTAATTGTATCAATTTAATTCCCGAAATATGAAATGTGTATTTATGTGATCCCTACATCTGACGCTGTTCCAAATCACTGACGAAACCAAGGGTAATTTTGGAGGAAACAAATGCAGTTAGTTCAACATAAGTCTGAGATTGAGAACCCCTGCCCAAAGGCCAAAAATCAGCATTTTCTGAGAAACCTACCCAAAGACTGCTTTGGGAAATTGATTTCCAGGAAGCTCGAGGATGCGTGGAGTCAAAGAAGAAAGGTTCTAAAAATTGAAAAAATATTTACAGTTCGTTTTTGCTATAAAATAATTCCAAAGTTCAATATGCTTAAATTTCACTCTCCCTTCGCATAAACCCAACATGGACCAATATGATTGGTTCAATAAAATTATAAACTAAAAGTCTAAAACTAAAAACTAAAGAATAATAAGCACAAAATTCTTACTAGGAAACAGAGAGAAACATCAACAAAAAAAAATAAATAGAGGAATAAAGAGATGTAGAAATTGAAGCAATTTACGAAATGAAAGCGACTAAATAGGAACAAGAGGCAAGTTGTAAGCTGAAGCAAAACCAAGAGACTGATTAGAAAAGAAGCAGCCAAGAACGAAATATTTATGTGTTTTAATAAAATGTTACACAAATATTATATAAAGAGAGAGTTGAGATAACAGAATAAGAGATCAAATCAAACCAGAGCAACATACAAATTTCTGAAAACCTTTTACTTCACACCAAATCTTGTTCTCAATCATAATCAACAAAGCAGATCACAACACAAATCATAAAGAACCCCCAAAACAAAAGAAAACCCAGCACAAACAGTGAAGAAAACAGAAGGTAAAGTGATAAATGAATGGGTGCCCAAAATTGTAAAACCCTAGAACCCTAGTAAGAAATACTATTACCCAATTACAGAGTACAATCCAACCCCACAAAACTTGAATAAAAATCAAACCTTTTGAAATAACAGCTCAAAACCCATCTCCAAAAACAATAGATTAACATCAACAAATCAAGTGAAAGAAACATATAGATCATCATTCCACTTTTAATCTTATCCCACACCGTATCAAAGGAAAAAAAAAAAAAACCATTTACAGAAGAAGAATAGAAGTGAAAAACAGTACAAAGAGAGAGAAAGAATTTAAGAAAGGACATACCCAGATAAGAAAATGTAGTCGTGTAGTTTTTGGCTTCACCTTCGGGTATGTATAGAGTTTTCTTCGGACTTCAATTATCGGTAGGAGTGGAATGCGGTGCTCTCTCCCACTCTCTTCTCTCTCTCTCTCTCTCTCTCTCTCTGTTTTGGATACTTGGTTTGGATCCAGAAACAGGGCACTTGTGATCGCGATAGAGAGAGAGAGTGTATAATGAACTTTTTATTTGGGGCATCAATAAAATGGGGCGGGTTGTTTAGGTGTGACCCACTCAATTTTAGGTGTCGTATGGCAAACTTTATTTTTTTGATCTTTTTAACTTTTTAATCTGAGATTTTTTCGTTCATTTGATTTTTTATTTGACTTGTTTGATTTTTTTTTTTTGCATTGAAATGACAAAATTGCTCCTCACTTGAAATGATGTTTTTTTTACTTTTTGCTTATATATGGGTCAATTTGATAATTTTTCATCAAAAGTTAAGTGTTTGTCATTTTGTGATTTTTTTTTTGTCTTTACGTGCTTATTTAGCCCTCACTCAAAAACCAAACCAAGGCTTAATCCATTAATTAGGGATGCTCGCGGTTCAGTTGCGAACAGATAACTTTCAATCTGCCATTTATCCGTCAAATTGATAGATTGAAAAAAATCAATCCGCATCCATCTGCTGGATTGACAAATGCGGATTGAGCGAATTGGGGAATTGACGGATGGATACGAATCAGTTTAGCGGTTTAAACTTTTACAAATTTTGAACATAATACAACAACTTTTCAATATTTTTTTTTAGATAATAATCCAACTCAACATAACTAAAAGATTATCAAATAAATTGTCAAATACCAATAATAAATACATATAAAAAAATCATACATTATCAAAACTATTTCATTATTTTTTTATTCAAAAACTATTTAATTTGATTTTTTTTTTAAATATAAAATTAAACCTTATATTTTCCACACAAAAATACAACTATCAACAATTGCCATTTGATAAAAAGATTTTTAAATTGAAAACACAACAAAATATCCAAACTATTTTTCAATTGAAAACACAAACAGAATATCAAAACAAATTGAAAATAAAAAGTCTTACAAATTACTAGGGGTGCTCGCAGTTTGACAGTTCGGTTACAGCCAAAGTAACCTCAAATCCGCCATCCGTTCAAAACTAGACGGATTGAAAAAAATCAATCCGCAATCGTCCATTCGTTATCACGCATCCGTTCAAAATGCAGTAGATCAGTTCAGTTTGGTATTTGAATGGATCGGAATATCCGCTATTAAACCCTCTCATTTATCAATTAATTTTGGGCATTCTGTGTGATTATTCTCAATTTTATATGATATTTTATAATTATTTAATAATTTTTGTTTTGACTGACAAATATGAGGGAGTTCGGAATCAAGTTAGAACATCCCCCAAACCCACCCCTTACCTATTTTAAGGAGTTGAAATCGTTTTATACACCTCCAGCAGAACCCCTAAACAATTCATTAAACTAAAATTTGCTACAGTGACTCCCTATTTGTAGGGAGTCAATGTAACCCCCTTATATCTGAGTGAATTAGCCAAAACTTGCTTCGCCGGTCGTTCACCCGAACGTCCGCCTGGTCGACCACCCCCTTCACTGCTCACCTTTACTCTGTCTATCCTCAACTAAACCAAATAATTGAAGCATATACTGTATAGATATACACAAACAGTGATAGATGGAGAGAGAGAACTTGAGTATATATATCAATTTGTCAAAGGACCTGGGTATATATATTTCAATTTGTCAAAAAACCTTTGAAAGAAAATCTGGGTGAACACTATCCTAGTTCAGAAAATCCAAGAAGAAGATGAAAAAGTAAAAAGATAGGAAAAGAATATTTTAATAATATTTTAGGAAAAAAATAAGGAATTTGTTGAGAAAAATAAATAAAAAAGTGATTCTTAAAATAAGAAATGAATTTTTTAATAATATTTTAGAGTAAAATTTAAGTAGGTTGCTGGGATGCTCTCAGTAGGGTTGAACTACCGTAACCCGATTTTCTCTAGCCCCATTCGGGTTGACAATTCTATGACCCGTATTCTCTCCCCCTCTCTCCCTCCCTTCACAGGATTAATGAAGGCTGCAGTTAATGCCCAACCTGGCTACGTGACTACTACTCTACTCAAAAGCTCATAGTCGCTTATAAGCAAATTTATTGATTTTTGAATTTATTTAAATTATATTGATCTTGTTTGATATATTTTTTTTAAAGTTAAAATTTGATAATTAAAAAGTAGATATTAAAAATATTCCTTTTCAATTTTTAAATAATTAACTTATTTAAATTATTTTTATTTGATAAATTATAAGCAAAAACTGTACTAAACAATCTAGTACAGACTCTTAAATTAAAATAAGTTATAATTACCTCTTAAAATCTATACCAAATAGCCCAATTATCCCTCTATTTTTTATATGTCTTTTTATAATATGTAAAAAATAAAACTTATTTAGCACTTTTCAAAATAACCCTTAATTAACTGCCACTATATTCACAAAAAATTTAAAATTAAAGACATTTTATTGAAATTGTTGTGGACAAAGTTGGATTGGGTGAGGTTTAGATGGATATTGGATTCAGGGTGTTAGGCCTTGTTTAGGAATATTCTATTTTAATAATTTTTTGATTAAAATATGAGACAAAAAAAGTTAATATGTTTAGAATGACATTTTAATTTTTTTTAAAAAGATGTGCAAAAGTAAAGAGAGAAAAAAAAAACTTTAACTTTTTAATATAGATTATTGATTTTTTAATTTTTTTAATGACTTTTTAACTTTTAACTTAAAATATTAAGTTATCAAACGAGACTTTAGTTTGAAAATTTTAATAGATTTTAAAATTTGTTTAAAGTTAATTCCTTAAACTTTTGAATTGATCTTAAACGAATTTTTATCGAATTATTTGTTATTTTTATATAATTTCAAATTTATCAAATCAAACCAAAGGAATAATTGACTATACAAACCAAATTGAAGTCAAGTTTAAACTATTTAACTCGTTTCCCGTCCCTAATTGGAGACACTAGTTTTTCAATAAGTGATTGGGACTGCTTTTGCTTACAATTTATGTTGTCAAAATAGTTATGTTAATCATCCACTTTCAACCAGAATTTACAAATAATTGTACGTTGAACTAAACAGGCCAAGCTTAGAACAGAGAAATGTTTGTGGTTAGGTTCAATTCAAATAATTGACAATAAAACAAAATATTGTTAGGTATATATATTGACGAACGGATTAAAAATTGTCAAAATCACTTTAGAAGAATAATGGAAAATTAATAATAAAATATTATGAAAATAAATCAAAGTTCTGAAATTGTGGAGGACCCACAAGTAGATTGGAACTCAAGCTTGCAAACAACTTTGGAAGAATGGGAAAGAAAATCTCTGCATAATAAGAGTTTTTTCAACCAGCAAAATTAAGAATTTCAGCTCACAAAATAGTGGAAAACGAACGAGCACCAATGGCACGGTACGAGTCAGAGTCATCCGATCCAAAAATAAAATTTCAAAGCTTGTCACACCGAAGGATATCCAAGAGAATACAACTCCAAAACTCGAGCTGACATGGCAAGATATTAGTGTTCTTCAGATAGGATCTCAAAGGGGCACGGGCCAGGACCCTGATATTCATAACATGGAGTGTAACTTCTCTTCACCCAAGAAATCCATACAACCGAACTCGTGAAAACCATATTCAATTGATTTTAGGTGCCAAAAATCACACAAGAATGGAGGAGTGAAACCTGTGATTGGGGAGCCCATACTCTCACTCGTGCTTCATTGGTCTCTTCGCACTAGTATGCCCTAACTGCTTGAACAATGGAGAGAATCTGTGGCGCAGGACTATTCTGATCAGGATGAAAGTATTAGCAGCCAAGAATACTAAGCTTGCGGCCCAGAGCTGTCGGAAGACATTCTTGCCTTTGAATTCAAGAAGATAACCCCACATTAACCAATGCGTTTGAGCTCCCATCCATATGAAAATGGATGATAAACCTTCCCATTTAAGTTTCATATTGCTCCATGGCAATATCAGAGGCAAGAGGCAGAAGAACCACACAAAGTACTGTGCTGTAATGACCTGTCAAAAGATATAACCCTTTAAATTTACAAAACCAAATGCGTGATAAGTACAAATTTCCCTATAAAGACCATATTTTCATAATTAAAACTTATTTATGGATGTAGGCAGAGACATTCTGTTCAGGACCGACTAGAGCACTCATGTCCCTCCAGCAAATACTATTGTACATTCAGCCAAGTTCATAAATTAAAAAGTTATTCCAATAGTAAAATACGCTAAATATCGTAAATTTTACATACCTTATTGAATGCTACAAATGCTACGGTCTGTACGAAGAAACAGAAAGGTAAATCCTGTGCAAAGCGGAGAACGAGAGCTAGCTGTACTATAAATTGAGGCAGAAAAGAGATGAGCTTTTCCAAAACTGAAAACTCATGTTCATAATGAAGATAGATGTGGTAAAAATATATTGAGAAATTGTGTCTTGGGTCAGTACGAGTCAGATGGTACAGCAGTGCCTCATGCAAGAACTCCCAGCGATATAGATAGAAAAATATTCCAGTACAAATGACGAAGACAGACCCAGAGACTAGCCCAAACATAAGTCTCTCCCGTGTCAGCATGCTAGTCAAAGCAACCCAAAAACGGTATATAACAGTAACTTCCTTGACGCTGAAATTTTGGGCTGACTTTCTGTTACTAGAACTCCATTCTGTAAGAGCAGGCTTCTTATGAGACCGGAAGTGGAGAGGATCAAGAACTAAGATGATGGGAAGCGCATATATTATAGGATAGATTCTTAAATGGACAACAAGCCCATACCACAATGCAGCTTGTAACAAATTACCTGCAAACCCATAAACATAAAGTTGGGAGATTAATAAATGTTTGTAGTGATTTGAAAGGGATGAATCAGTATTTTGTGCATAAATCAAGGAAAATTTCTACAATTTCATTGCAACACCCACTCTCCATGTTCCAAAAGTGCAAAAGGGAAGTCGGCAAATGAAAGACCATTTCTTCTTCAACTTCTAAGGTTCAAACATGTGATGCTTTCCCCTTCAATGTCAACAAAATTCTCAATTAAAATGCTATCTGGGGTAAAAGAAAGTTCCAGTTTACCAACTGCAGTGGTTTGCTTTCGTTTCCTAAACAGTAAAGAAAGTAGCCCCAACCCTGCATCAAACTTAATGTTTGCAATTTCAAGAATAGTGCAATACAGATTGTGTTCAAAACAAGGTTACGTCTTACAGTTCAACCAGGAAAACATACTCCAAAATGTTTCCGCCCACAGTCCCACTAAGAGACATTTTGGCATTTAAAAAAGATTATCTGGCTAAAGATTAAAATTCTTTCCAAGGATTCTTCAAGAGAATTCTCCTCTCTTTATATCAAACATGCATATAGCATCTTCCTTTAATGTCTTGTCATTTCTTTAGCATCTACTCTTGGAATTTAGTCGATGAAGAGTTTTACAAACACAATTCTAAGGCATCGTTTAAGATTAATAACTGCCACCCTAAGAAACCAGCACAATGTTATTTATTTGAGAAGGTGATATAAAGAAGTAGAAGTTATACCATTCATAAGACAGATAATGATCCATAAAACCATGGCACAAACAATGGGCTCGCAGTTCCCACGGGTTCCAATAGTGAAGGTAAATGGATTGAAGAGCCATATCATTACAGAAAGGGTGGATAGATTCTCAGGCACCCCTCTTAGCTTCAGAATGTTGCGGATAAATAGCCCTACAAGTAAATCTGCAGTGTGAACAGGATGTAAGATTCACAATTGTCTTAGTTTTCTAACAAAATAGAAGAGACAAAAACAAAAGTCACCGACTTGTAAATGGAAAAATAAAAACATGAGTTCTGTTAATATCTAAAGTTAAAGTCAGATTTTAAAATATTCATGAGCCATCAAGAGTTGTGCTGCAGCCCATGCCCATCCTTGCATGGCTTGAAGTTTGAACAAAAATAAATAGATTGATAAACAGTTATAGTCACAGCACAGTTACAGGTACCACAAAATTAGGACCCGACAATTTTACAGCATACACTTGTAAAGTTACAAGACGCGGCAAATAGCTGGGATTCCTTGTACAGTTAACATATACAATAGTTCCATCATCATAAGCACCAGGTGTTTGTCAGATCCTTAATGAAAAGTGGTTAATCCCCAGAAAGTTTTGAAAGCATCCACTCAAATACAATAACATAATATGGATCCAACAGTAAATATAAATCAGTCGACACCTGAACAAAGTCTGATACACCAACACACCGAACTATCAAACAAATCATGTAAATGTTTTCCTTATTTTATTTTATTTTCTTCAAGAGATGTAAAACTCCATCAACGAAAAAAAGATACAATACCTGAAACAGAGAAGAGAAACTTTCCCCATGAGCGATGGATGATTGAATTTGGTATGAGAAGAAATGCAATAAGAGGTGAGTACCGATAAGTAGTTCTTTTGTAAGGGGACTGGCCGGAGGCCATCAAGGAAGCAGCATCAGAAAACACCAGGTAATCAACATCTGTGTATCTGACCTCCATATGTGTGTCCTGCCATTCTCCATAGACAATTAAAAGGAGTCGAAGAACTCCTGAGAACAGAAACAGTGAACGAATATTTATTGATGGCATTCCTCCTGCAAGGAAAAAAAAGAAAAGAAAAATGTAATTAGGAGCCAATTTCTTTGACTTGACACAAAATCTTATGATGCAAATAGCATATAATGTTTCTGTGAAATTGACCATAAAAGTATTGTTTATCATCAGAGTTCAATCATCTTTGTTGTCAATGATTCATGTTTGTTGAAGAGTCAAAAATACCAACTTTGCTTGTTGGCAGGGATAGCTGAAAGCCGCTGCTGTTACGGGTCGAACAAATTTGAAAATCATGAATGCATGTTAACATTTGGGTGTATTTAAAATGACTTTTCCTCAAACAAATTATTGTCAATTGTTGTTCCATTATCTTTAACTTGTTTCAAATGTAACCAAAGTCAATTTCTACTCTCTCTCAATAAACCAATTTATTAATGTAACTCATGAATTTCCTACCAGGTGCCCACCAAACACAGAGATATATACATACAAACAAAACAACTACCTATCAATTTGCATCAGATTTAGGTCTGAGCAAAATCAGTCAAAATGGGGCAACTTCATGATTAAAATTTTTAAAATTTGTAATTTTTTACTTTTCAATAGAATAATAAAACCTATTCCTGGTTGCTAACAAATCTATTACTATTTGTCAATAAAATTATTGAAAAAAACAAAAAAAAATAATTTGTAATGTTTAAAGGCAAAGTATGAATCTAACCATAGAACATAAATTAATTGACAAGAAACACAGTTAGAGGCAATAATGAAGCAAATAGAAGTTGTAGCTAACACTAACTGAAAAAATACCTGTGATGCGCAAGGCAACACTTATATTTGGAGACCTGGGTGGGTGCGAAAGCAGTGCGTTTACATTCACCTGCCGGGGAGAGAGAGAGAGAGAGAGATCCGACCCAGGTTGCAGGGATTTGTTGGGAGAGGAGGTTGAATTATTGTTATGACCTCCATGATCAACCATAATAGCCAAGGAAGCCATTTATTGCCCATTTTTTAGGAAACTAGTTGGATCCTCACGCGCTACCCGCATGGGGGTCGTGTTACATTTAAAAAAAATACAATGTCATATTGATGGCAACACAAAATTGCTGCGAGGGAAACTTTTATTTGTTCTAGTTTTGTACCACCACTAATTACAAAACGAACTTGTGGGAGCCGGATAATTAGAATAATCAGAAGCGTACTATAGAAGACAGATGTTACACGGCTCTATCCTACACGATAAGGATGCCAAATATAATAGATAGGCCGAATAGATACCGAACTATGGAGCCGAGTAAATAAGAGGATGATGAGTGACAAGTGGGCCTGGCCACGAGGCCCAGGAAACAAGTATAAACAAAGGAACAACAAACTAAGAAACGCAGGTGAGAATTGTTGTGCTTAACTTAGAATACAAGCATTCTTGAGTGTGGATTCTAACTTATCCGTCGAAGTGCTAATTCCGACACCCCCGATCGGAGTGTTTATTCCTTTTCAGGTGACCAAAAGAGGATCATGAGAGTTCTCCAGGATCAGAAGAGTATTTCCAAACCATATCCCCACAATTGGCGCCGTCTGTGGGAATACTCAAGCACATCCATGGCGAGCGTGACGAAAGATCCTCCGACAGTCACTGTCGACCCTATACCGCAAGACGAAACCACTCTAACAAACTTGCTTGGAACAGAGACTATCGCCGCAAGACGTGCCTTGAATTTCGCCTCACCCTCGACTTCGGAGCACAAGACAATGCAGACAATCATGGAACAAGCAAAGCAAAATGAACAGAGGTTGGAGAACATGATCGCTGAAAACGAACGTCTTCATGAAGATTTGGCCTTGGAAATGGCGAAGTCCAAGCAAACTGCGCGCCTAAATCCGGAACGATCTCCGAAGGCAGGTGGTCGACAACCTCGAGCACGACAAGACACTGATAGCGACTCCGACTCATTATCCCCGGAGCCCGGGAAGAAGGGATGACATGAAACCACCAGTTCTTCCGAAGAAAGTCCCCGTACAACGCACAAGCAAAGAAGGAACAGTTCGGACGAAGACCAACACGATCCCTTCGTACGACGGATTGCAAAGGCTACGCTATCCAAGAAATTCAAAGCACCGTCGTTCACCTTGTACGATGGCAAATCAGACCCCACCGACCACATCCGCCACTACAAGCAGACCATGACATTGCATGCAGACGACGAGGGCCTCATGTGCCGAATATTTCCCAGCAGTTTGGGACCATTGGCGGTTAGGTGGTACTATAAATTGGAGCCGGCTTCGACCAAAACCTTCCACCAACTACAGACATCCTTCAAGGCCAGATTCATCACCAACGAAGTCCAGCCGAAGCAAGCCGACTCTCTCTGGGCAATGCAAATCCTACCAGGAGAAACACTAAGAGCATATTCGGCGCGAATGCTTCAATCTTGTTGATGACGCTTGCAACGACTCCATGGCCATCACCGCCTTCAAAATGGGATTACACCCAGATAGTGCCTTCCGCAGTTCCTTGACTAAAAGACCCCCCAAAACAGTTTGGGGGTTGATGAAGAAAGTAAAGGAATACTGCAAAATGGAAGATGACGCCTTGCGGGTTAAAGCCGGACACGTGGCCAACAAAACGGCCCCTCTCGAAATCGCTCAGCCGATAAGTTCCGCACCACCTCAGAGCCCTGAACCACGACAGTGGGCTAAACGAGACAAGAGACGGGATTCTCGCCGATCCGGAGATCAATGCTCACACTAAGCGAATGAGCAACTGCAGGTCGATAGCAGGCGCACAAAGCGCGCCGACAAGAAATATACGGAGTTGTCAGAGCCAATCAACTCGATTATGTCCAAAATCTAACATCTTCCGTTCTTCAAATGGCCGTCCAAGATGGTGGGATCTCCTGACACAAGAAGGCAGGACAGGCGTTGTGAATATCACAAAGATCACGGTCATGATACGGACAGTTGGTATGCCTTGAAAGACCGCCTTGAGGAATTGGTGCAAAATAGTCAGCTCCAGTAACACGTCCGGAAGAGCACAATCAAAACGGTTGCCCTTAGGCAGGAGTCACCTCCCCTCGGCGTTATACATATGATATACAGCCTTCCAGCACCACGTACCATACACGCAATTCATTCAGCCCCCCCGAAGCAACGCACACAAACAAAACAGCCCCACGAAGCTCCAAGCATTACCTTCGACGATTCCAATCTTATCGGCATAACGCTCCCCCATATCGATCCATTGGTCATTGAACTACACGTGAACCGATTTACCGTTGAACGCGTCCTCATAGACCAGGGGAGCACTTCGGAGGTCCTGTATTACGAGACCTTCATCAAACTCGGCTTCAACGAATTAGACCTGTCTCCGGCTCCTCATCCATTATTCGGCTTCAACGCAAATCCAGAGTACCCGTTGGGGAAAATCACGTTACCCGTTCGGGCGGGCTCCCAAACAGTGGATATGGAATTCTTGGTCGTCAAGCTCCCTTTGTCGTATAACCTCATCATGGGACGAACGTGATTGCATACTATTCAGGCTGTGCGAAGCACCTATCATCAGCTGCTACGCTTCCTGACCAAACACGGCGTTGAGCAAATCCGTGGTTCCTGGCAACCCGCACAAGCATGCTATCTCCTTTCTGGAAAGACACCAATGGAGACGCAAGTCAACTCCACTGAAGTGTCGAATCGAGACAGTCTCGACGATGTCGGACGGCTCCCTGACGAAAAGCCACGGAAGCTCCAGGCGATACCAGTAGCAGCTTCCCAAGATGTATGTTTAACGCGTCCAGCTGCGCCGCTACACGCCGGGAAAGTTGCTCCCGAAGGTATTTCCGGATGATAGGAGGCCGATTGATGGAAAATTAGGCACGCGGCCTTGCTCCTAACGCACTTGCGCAAATTCTATCATTAAACCCGACCTGTAGGGAATGATTTTGGTTCTGAATGGCTCGCCATGTACACTTTCCACTTCCGTAATGCAAAGATTCCTGTTTACTCACTGTGCAATCTAGTTCAAAAGTGTTCCAAATAAAGCCTCCGGATTCGGAACGCCCTTCGTGGATGTCACGATTGGCCAAATAAAACCTCCATATTCGGAACCCCATCGGCGCATGACGTCTTTGGGCCGATAAAGCCTCCAGATTCGGTGCGCCCTTCATGGATGTCACGATTGGCCAAATAAAGCCTCCGGATTCGAAGCCCCATCGACGCATGACGTCTTTGGGCCAATAAAGCCTCCGGATTCGGAGCGCCCTTCGTGGATGTCATGATTGACCAAATAAAGCCTCCGGGTTCGGAGCCGGATTGGCACATGACGTCTTTGGGCCGATAAAGCCTCCGGATTTGGAGCGCCCTTTGTGCATGTCACAATTGGCCAAATAAAACCTCCGGATTCGGAGCCCCATCGGCGCATGACGTCTTTGGGCCGATAAAGCCTCCGGATTCGGAGCACCCTTCGTGGATGTCACGGTTGGCCAAATAAAGCCTCCAAATTCAGAGCCCCATCGGCGCATGACGTCTTTGGGCCGATAAGGCCTCTGAATTCGGAGCTCCATCGGCGCATGACGTCTTTGGGCCGATAAAGCCTCCAGATTCGGAGCGCCCTTCGTGGATGTTGCGATTGCCCAAATAAAGCCTCCGGATTCGGAGCCTCATTGGCGCATGACGTCCGGATTCGAAGCGCCCTTCGTGGATGTCACGATTGGCCAAATAAAGGCTCCGGATTCGGAGCCCCATCGGCGCACAACGTCTTCAGGCCGATAAAGCCTCCAAATTCGACTGACCAAATAGTGCCACCAAGCGACGCTCAAGGGCCGAGTAATATTCCGAATTCGGAGCGCCCTCCAGAATGAAAACATTTACACGTCGAAGCAGGGATATGTAGGTTGAACCAGTACAACCGCATGAACAAGTCAAAACGTTCCAGCATTCAAAATAAGATGCTTAATTTAGCATACAAAAATTCAGAATGAGATAAAACTTTTAGAATGAAACATTTTATTCGATCAAACAGTAATTACAAGAAACGCAATCTGCATTCAAAGCATTACAATGTCTATTCTCATACGGCGTCTCGTTGGTACAAGCGGCTGCGCAGATCAAAGAGCACTCGCAACTTGAAATGCTTTGATTTGACCGCGCTTGAATCCACGATTCACAATGACGATATAACCACCTTTGAGGCGGGGACCTTTGACGCCATCGACAATGTCAAGGCCAAGATCCAAAACAAGAAAGGAATTCCCCACGAAAACAGCAACGCTCAACTGTCGCGGCACTACGTCGGCCTTATTTCTCGGTCGCAATCGCGGAGAACTTCGCCATTGCTGTTTCTCTCTTCGAGGTGATCTGCTTTGACGACTTAGAGGCTGACGTTTTTCCCGTTTTTTTAACGTCCTACCTCTCGCGCGAGTGGGTTCTCTGCTACGATTCATTGCAATGTCAAGCTCAGCCAGAGTCCGAGCTTCTCCTCTGCTGCTGAAGAAAAACTCCATTCGACATCCACACCTATCTAACCCCACGCAACAAAATCGTTTTAAATCGAGTCTGAACACAGTAAGCGAAGTCACTAGAGCGAAAAGTCTGAGGCGATTTATTTCTATAATCCTTGCAGTGGCCCCGAGGCGATTTCATCAACATTGAACTCCAAAAAACGGATGCCGAGCAATATTGGCCACAGCCACTCCATGTATCAATCTTTAGCTAAAATGGCCTAATTATATAAACAACAATTATAGATGGGTTGACTGTCTTCAGGTTCAGAGCCCCTGGTGCATGACACCTTTGAGCCGATTAAGCCTCCAAATTCGGAACCTCATCGGCGCAATTGACCTTGCGTGACACACCAAAAATATATTTAGTGAAGAACGCTCATAACAAGCCGGCATATAACCGTTCGGAATTAAAACGCCTAGTTGATTCGAGCCGGTCAATGTTTATACAATGAAATGCATGCAAACACGCGTGTGCCGAATGAAAATTACACTGAAACATTTAAAATAGAACGTTTTATTCAATCAGGCAATAATTACATAATTATGAACGCGATCTGCGTTCGAACGTTACATTGAATATTTTTTATACGGTGTCGCCCTTATCCTCACTCTGCTCAACTTCAAAGGCGGAAAACGAAAAATGGTTACGTTGGTACAGTGGCAATGCCGAGTCGACACCCACTGCTCGGAGAGCTTCTTCGGCCTGAAGTGCCTTGATCTAACCATGCTTAAATCCACGATTTTCGCATCGGCAAACTTGCTTGGCGAGCTTTTCCTTGGTCTTCTGTATCCCTACTTTTCGGCCATCGTGGAAGCCTTTTTCATAGGCCCTCCCCTTCGCGGATTCCATCGCGAACATGCTCGCCGTATCGCGATTAGCGAGCGCCGTACTGATAAGCCGCTGGGTAACCCTTTCTTCCACGATTGGGTTAGCCTGTCCGACGGGTTGTGCTTGAACGGCCTCGATCTTCCTTAGCTCACGCTCAGCTGCTTTCGCGCGAGCCTCCGAACTTCGGATGCATTCATCTCTCTTCTTTATTTCTCGGCGGGAAGCACGGAGACGCATGCCGATTTCGTAGGCGGTATAGAGGCCCTTCACTGCACCGTGAATGCCTTCACGAAACACTTCGAAGTCCTGTCGACCTACCATCGACTGCTGGACCTCGGGAGGAAAAATCTGTCGAGCAAATTCGACTACCACACTGGAATCTCGAACGATCGAGTCCACATCTGTCACGGGCCTATTCTCCACGAAGAATGCAAAACTCAATGGGCGTGGGTTCTCACCGGGCTCCCTTCTAGAATGGGGTTGTGGGGATTTGCCCTATGGCTTCTTGTCCCTCCTAGGCGACCTACTTCGACGACGAAGAGATTGACGTCTCTCTCGATCCCTCAAAATCCTACCTCCCAAGCACGAAGGTTCGCCACTTCGATTCATGTCTCCTCCCAGCTCAGCTAGCGTCCTCGCTTCCCCTTTGCTGTTAAAGAAGGGTCTATTCGACATTCGCACATGTTTATCCTTCGTCAAAGACCTGGACTGAGTTGCTCACTGAGCACTTAAATAGGACCTTCATTCATTGATTCCCTAACGAGGGCAGCACCTCCAAGGCAATCTCACTAATATCGAAACCTCAACAGCCTGAAGCCGACCGAGTCGTGCTCCACATCTGTCACGGGCCTATTCTCCACGAAGAATGCAAAACTCAATGGGCGTGGGTTCTCACCGGGCTCCCTTCTAGAATGGGGTTGTGGGGATTTGCCCTATGGCTTCTTGTCCCTCCTAGGCGACCTACTTCGACGACGAAGAGATTGACGTCTCTCTCGATCCCTCGAAATCCTACCTCCCGAGCACGAAGGTTCGCCACTTCGATTCATGTCTCCTCCCAGCTCAGCTAGCGTCCTCGCTTCCCCTTTGCTGTTAAAGAAGAGTCTATTCGACATTCGCGCTTGTTTATCCTTCGTCAAAGACCTGGACTGAGTTGCTCACTGAGCACTTAAATAGGACCTTCATTCATTGATTCCCTAACGAGGGCAGCGCCTCCAAGGCAATCTCACTAATATTGAAACCTCAACAGCCTGAAGCCGACCGAGTCGTGCCCCCATCAAATAATGATTTAGGTAGTCTTAACTTCCGCAAGGGCAAATTCATGAAGCAGCTGGGACAAGGGCAGATTCATCAATCTATTCGGCCTGAGTTCCGCAGCCGCTTCACGAATCGACTCATCAATATTGTGTGATTCGGCGTTTGAAATTCATGAAGCAGCTGGGGCAAGGGTAGATTCATCAATCTACTCGGCCTGAGTGCTGTAGCCGCTTCACGAATCGACTCATCAATATCGTGTGATTCGGCGTTTGAAATTCATGAAGCAGCTGGGGCAAGGGTAGATTCATCAATCTATTCGGCCTGAGTGCCGCAGCTGCTTCACGAATCTATTCGGCCTGAGTGCCGCAGCCGCTTCACGAATCGACTCATTAATATTGTGATATTCGGCGTTTGAAATTCATAAAGCAGCTGGGGCAAGGGTAGATTCATCAATCTATTCGGCCTGAGTGCCGCAGCCGCTTCACGAATCTATTCGGCCTGAGTGCCGCAGCCGCTTCACGAATCGACTCATCAATATTGTGTGATTCGGCGTTCGAAATTCATGAACCAGCTGGGGCAAGGGTAGATTCATCAATCTATTCGGCCTGAGTGCCGCAGCCGCTTCATGAATCGATTTACTTGTTCGGATAAATTGAAATTAAACTAATATAATGGCCAAGATTACACTGTTATCCAAAGTAGTGGAAGGCAAAACCCTTCATTAAATTCAAAAACTATGTACAAGTAACAGTGAAACGGGAAGGAAATTTTCATTAATAAATTGAGTGCAGATAGTAACTCATTTATACATGAAAATTACCTTGAATCCACTAAACAAAAACGTACATTGAAATTAAAGATACCTAATAAAACTAGAGTGTCTCCCAGATCAATCCTCGGGATCAAACTCAAGTGGCTCAACGTCCACTGCCTCGTATGGAATTGGCAAGGCCAATGTAACTCCAGCGGCAGCAAGGGCTTTGAACCACCCATGCTTGAATCCCCGATTCTCGAATTTGGGGACCTCATCTACATATTCCTTCAGGGCGGCGCTCTTCCCAGCTTCTAGCGCCGTAGAAGCTACAGATTCGGCTTTTTCCTTGGCCGCCTTCAATTCTTCTAACTCGGCCTCTGCCTTGGAAAGCGCTTCCTGGGCTAACTTGAGCGACTCCTCGCTCGCGTTCGCCCTATCCTCGGCTTCGGATTTGAGTTGGTCAGCAGTCCGAACCCTCTCATTTTCAGCTTCGACTCGAGCACATTCCATTGTCGCCCTCATCGCCTCGAACTTGGCCCTTCTTCTTTCACCTTCAGCTTCAAACTCCAAGCGGCCAATTCTTTCAATGGCATCACGCTGCCGGCAGCCTAGTTCGGCTATCCTTCCAACCGTCTGCAAAACAAGTTTGGATCACCACATCAAGCAACATCGTAAGCAAACCAAACCAAACGAACAAAAAAGAAAAGTATCGTATACATACCAGGAGGGCCGACTGGGCAACGAACGCTATAGCTACCAAATCTGGCTCTTCTCGAAAGGTGGCCTTGTCAGCCGGTAGCGAAACCGAGGCGGCCAAGCTCAACGCCACGGTTGGATTCTTCATGGCAAATGCGTCAGAGGAGATTGGCGTGTCTTTGATCTTTGGTTGAACAACGAAGGGGACAACCACGTCGGACTCCTCTAAGCGAGGCCGTTTGTCAACAGGGCTATCCTTCGAGCCGGCCCCTCCCTCGGCGGAACATTTTTTGCCTCGCTGTTCAGCCCCCTCCGCCTCGCCCCGCTCTTCTGAAACCAGCCGTTCTTCCATAACCTGCTGTTCAGCCCCCTCCGTCTCGGCCACAACAACTCACGCCTTTTCTTCTCCAGTAACCGGTTGTAAAGATTCAACCGGGGCAGGCTCAGAACGAGCGGCCTCGGCCTTCTTTCGAGCGGCCATTCGCTCGACATTTTTCTTTCTCGCCATCTGCGTGAGATTCTCCCCAGCCATGCCCTCTAAAAAAGTACAGGGAAGGTCTCCCAAGTTTGTAAAAATATCTCCGAAGGAAAACTCCGTCCGACCCGAAGTGGACGGTGAGTTAGGCTGGTTAAGACCGGCTGCCTCAAATGCTAATTTCAGAGCTTCGTCAACCTCTTCGGCCTCGGCAGCGAACGCCCTTGTTAATTCAGCATCTACCTCGACAACCGGCTCTAAGCCTTGCTCCGAATCAGAAGCTTCGAGACCAATTTGCCTAAGGATCTTGAAACTGGGGAAGACAAGAGCCGTAAGGCGTTGCTCGCCGGTTGGGATCGGGATGTCGTCCGCGGCCGAGAACGTAGTGTAGGTAGGCTTGTACCACAGGAGAATATGGGCAGCCCTCCCTTGCCTCTGTACGTTTGGACGGCCAAAGTACTTTAGTGCAGTTTTAATTTCCGCAAGGACTGCGTCGTCAGCCGAGGTCAAAATCCTCTTCAACTTATTGCCTGCAAGAACCTATGAAGCACGGATACTCCGAAATAGCCCCCGTACGCGTATTGGATACGTATCGGATATGGATATGCGCCCGATACGGCAGGATACGTATCAGATACGGAAAATGAAGTATCCAATTTTTTTTTTTAATTTTTGAATTTCGGATACGGCTAGGATACGCGAGGATACGATCAGGATACAGTCAGAATACAGTGCCCCCGTACGCGTATTGGATACGTATCGGATATGGATATGCGCCCGATACGGCAGGATACGTATCAGATACGGAAAATGAAGTATCCAATTTTTTTTTTTAATTTTTGAATTTCGGATACGGCTAGGATACGCGAGGATACGATCAGGATACGGTCAGGATACAGTATGGATACGGCGGGGCAAAAAAATAATTTAAAAAACTTTAAAATGGGTCAAATTGTAAAATATGAAAAAAAGATGAAATAAAACACAAAAAAAAGAAAACCAATAAACAACCAAACTCTCTCTTACCTAGGTCGAACAGCAGCCGCGAAGGAGGAGGAGAAGGAGTTCGTCGTCGTCTCGAACAGCAACTCGCCGATCGTCGATCTGGTTCACGAACAGGAGCTCCACGATTGTCGATCAGGTTCGTCCCTCTCTCTCTCCCTTTCGCTCCCTCTGTCAGCCTCTCACTCGATCTCACGAACTCTCTCCCTCTCCCTCTCCCTCTCGCTCGATCTGTCTGGTTGGAGATCTCAATCTCATCTCCCCCCCTCTTGATCGATCTGTAATAATTTATGTAATTTATGTATTATTGATTTATTGATAGATACTTGATTCTGTTACAATTGATTGATTATATAGATGTAGGTTAGGTGGTGGTAGGTGAGGAGTAGGTGAGTGTGTGGTAGGTGATGGTAAGTGTGTGGTAGGTGATGGTAAATTCTAACAGCCCCCCGCAAACTCAAGGAGGATAGAAACTAAACAACTTGAGTTTGGAGAGAGTAACAAAACAAGAAAATAGACGAATACATAAAAGAAAAGAATAGGAGACACTGTATGGTCGTGTCAGACCGTTGGTGAAGACACTGTATGGTGGTGTCATAACGTTGTAGAGGACACTGTATGGTGGTGTCATAACGTTGTAGAGGACACTGTATGGTGGTGTCATAACGTTGTAGAGGACACTGTATGGTGGTGTCATAACGTTGTAGAGGACACTGTATGGTGGTGTCATAACGTTGTAGAGGACACTGTATGGTGGTGTCATAACGTTGTAGAGGACACTATCACACCACCACATCCACAGTGGGATTTTTTCTCTACTCTGCTGCAGGTCTCTTTTTATCAGCAAAGTCCAAAAATTATTGGAAAAGGATGAATCTAGCTCCTGAGAAATCAAGATAAAATGTAGAGAAATTTTATTGAATGTGAATGTGTCAAATACAAAAATAAGCTAACTTATCATCTTGGAAATTTGCATCCTAGAGTTGTTTCAGACTTCTAGTAAGGTTAAAGTGTGTACTGATAACATGTGCTAAAATTCTCAAGAATAATATGTCAACATTTCCAGACAAATCCAACATTTTACTCAAGTTCTGAAGTAACAACCTATTGGTTGAAATTTGACACAACTTAAATATTCCATCTATCCAGCAGTGAATCAAATCCAATGACTGAAACTCATAATGCGTATCTATGTACAACTTATCAAAAATTAGCTGGTCAATCAAATTAAAAGAAGAGCTTTCCCCAACAGTCAGCAAAGCATCAATCAACCTATGAAGTATGTGAAGCAACCATATCTTCTTGTGTCCTCTTGTCACTAAACCTATAAGGAATGGGAAGCAAAATCTCTGCTTTAGGTGAACTGAAAGGACAAAGCCCTGTGCATGTATCCAGTGCATCAGAGCTACATAACATGCATGCTGACGCTACACAAGGGGGAAAAGGTGTTTCCTACAACTAAGAGAAGGATGTGATGTGCTCCAACGCATGTATAAGGATGCGCGAGCAGAGATAAGCGTGCTAAGGGCAGAAAACAAGGAGCTGAAGCGGAAGGCCACCGTGATGTTCCGATTTGGAGGGCCGCCATATGCTGCAGTGGAAGAGTATGGGGGAGTGAACGTGCTCGGCGGCGTGGAAAACACGGAGGCAGCACCGTCAAGGGCCGCCCAAGACGGAGGCAAGAAGAAGAGACCGGCGGAATAGGCGAAGAAGTGAGGTCGGTTGGCGGCCGTCTGCAGAAAAGAAAACAACTCTTTTGGTGTGGTGGTTTGGTTTGTTGGGGTTTTGGTTTTTTTTTTTTTTTTTTTTTTTTTTTTTTTTTTTTTTTTTTTTTTTTTTTTTTTTTTTTGTGGAAAATGGTGATCGGGGGTGATCCCTGAGATGAATAAAATATGGGTTGTTGTGCAAATTTGGAATTTTGGCAAGAGCACCAAGGAAACGTGATAATAAAAAAGAAAGTGATAATAAAAAGGAAAATGATTTTATTTTATGTTATTTATTGATTTATTTATTTATTTTTTTTTGTTTTGTTTTTTATACAAATTTGGCAACACTTCGGATGTTTTGGAATCCATATCAAAAGCATCCTGGCCAAAAATTCCCTGCATTTGTTTTTTTTTTTTTTTTTTTTTTTTTTTTTTTTTTTGTGTTTTGTGTTTTTAATAAAGAAATACAACTTGTATAGTGAAGAAATGGGAAACAGCTGTGATAGCAGATGGTGTAGATCTATCTGCTCTCTTATTGGAGTGACTGGTCGGATGGTCCTAAAGCTGGGGGTGTTTAAGAATAAAAATAAAAGAAAAATAAAATAATGGATAAAAAAAATAAAAAAAAAGGAGGGGTGTGCAAACCAGAGGAGGTGTCGGTTGCTTTTCAAAAACAAATGGAGTAAAATAAATATAAAACAAAGGAAAAGAAAGAAAAAGGATAAGTGGGAGAGTGGGTCACATGGGAGAGAGAATCTGTTTGAGAGAGAGAGAGTGCAGCCGTGTGTGTGGTGAACATGGCATTGTCAGCAACTGTCTTACCATTTAGAGCCTTAACAGCTTTAGCGGCATCATCAGCATTTTCAAAATTGATAAAGCCAAAACACTTGGATTTTCCAGCACCATCCCTCATCACTACCGCACTAGTAATTGTTCCATATTCACCACATGTATTCTTTAGATCCTCATCAGTTGTTGATTCTGAGAGGTTTGTTTTCACAAATACATTATTAAAGTTGGTCTTGCTCATGACAGTATCTCTTTCCTGCTTACGAAGTCAAAGAATGGCAGGTCGTCGGCGAGGACCACCAGTTGAACGACAAAAACCACTTCAGCCTTTTTAAGAGCAAGTTCGGAAAGTCGTACGCCACCAAGGAGGAGCACGATCACAGGGTCTCGATGCTGCGGTGGTGTCGCGGAGGACTTCCGGGGAGGTGTATGCCGGAGTGTCGCAGGCGGTTTGGAGCACTTGCGGTGGAGCTGGTTTTCCCGGCGAGGTATGTGTAAAAAAAAATCTTAGCGGACTAGGTTGAGGTTCGGCGGGCAGCGAAGGTGAGGTGGCCGCCCGCCGGGGAAGCGAAAATATCAGGTTCTAAACCTGCTCTGATACCATGTAAGAATTTATGTAATTTATGTATTATTGATTTATTGATAGATACATGATTCTGTTACAATTGATTGATTATATAGATGTAGGTTAGGTGGTGGTAGGTGAGGAGTAAGTGAGTGTAGTAGGTGAGTGTGTGGTAGGTGATGGAGTAGGTGAGTGTAGTAGGTGAGTGTGTGGTAGGTGATGGTAAGTGTGTGGTAGGTGATGGTAAATTCTAACACGATCTATCTCTCCCTCGTCTCTCCCTCTCCCTCTCCCTCTCCCTTATCTATGTCTGTTTTGCCTATTTATTTTTATTATTATTATTATTTTAATTTGTTGTATGTATACTCTGCAAATCAAATAAGATATTAAAAAAAAAAAAACTTATATGTATTATTCGGTTTACTTGAATCTGATAAAACAAATAAATAAATAAACTTATTAATAAATAAATAAATAAAATAAGGTAAAAAAACTTATTAATAAATAAATAAACTTATTAAAAATAAAATTTGTCAACTTATAAAATTATAAACTTTGTAAACTTATTAATAAATCAAATAAGGTAAAAAAATCTTATTAATAAATACATAAATAAACTTATTGATAAATAAATGAACTTTGTAAATTTTTTCCCCCTTAATTTGGGATTGAATTGCATTATGGTTGTTATGGGTGATGCTATATTGTTAAAATTGTTGAAATTTAATTGAATCGATGAATTTTTTGTTATGGATGAGGATGATGCATTATGGTTGTTATGGGTGATGCTATATTGTTAAAATTGTTGAAATTTAATTGAATTGATGAATTTTTTGTTATGGGTGATGCATTATGGTTGTTATGGGTGATGCTACATTAATTGAATTTGAAGTTTTATTTTTGTGTATGCTACATTACTAAAAATTGTGAAAAAAATATTTTTTATGAACGTATTCCTGCCGTATCCGTATCCTACTTTTTCAAATTTTTCCGTATCGCTGTATCCGTATCGTATCGTATCGTATCCGTATCCGTATCCGTGCTTCCTAGGCAAGAACAAAGGGTAAGGTTTGGAGAAAAAGTCGCATAAAAGAAAGATCAACAAACAAGAAGTTATACGGCGACCTGGTTCACCCCTCCGTCTAGGAATAGGGTCTAGGCGATCTTCGCCTTCACTGAACTCCCAGTTGCCTCGGGCATTGACCATTACATCGTCAACTCGTTTGCCAGAGCTGGCAAGCATCGTTACCAAGTGATGGTCGGTGTCCTTGGCCCTGAGAAAGTAGCGCCCGAGCTGACCGGAGGATTTGGCTAGAGCATAGCAATGCCGAATCGCCGGAATGCCAAGGTTGATCCTGAGACGCCGGTTTAACTCTACGATTCCCATTACAATTCGAAAAAAATTCACATTGGGTTGCGAAGGTTTAACTCTACGATTCCCATTACAATTCAAAAAAAATTCACATTGGGTTGCGAAGGAATCAGACTCCAATAGCGGAGGACGGCCCTGAGAAATGGGTGTGGGGGAAAGCGAACTCCGCCCTCCGCAATAGACAGGAGAGGGAAGACGATTATGTTTTGGTCGTCCCTCTCCATATCAAGGGTACTGTCCGTTACCAGTGAAAGATGGACATCCTCAGGGATAGAAAA